CTCCACCGCCTCCACCAGCCCTCGTCCTTCGCATGCCCCGTCAATGCGCGCCACCTCGCCCACTCGAGACCCACGTTCCCGCCCTACGCCCAAACCGTCCGCAGACGTCGCCTCCGCTGCTACCTCCACCATTGCCAGCGCTTCCGCTGCCCCAACCACCACAGCCAACGCCGCTCCGTCGCAAGCTGAAAAGTCGTCCACCGACGAGCCCGTCACGCGCTCCCAGTTCCGCAAATGGATGCGCGACTTTCAGCGCGACCTCGAAATCCAGTTCGACGAGCTCAAGGACCTCGCTGTCCAGGAAGCCACCGCAGAGAACCAAGCTTGCATGGAGGAGCGCATTCAAGCCCTCGCCCTCAAGTGGAGGAACAAATTGGCGGCAGGATTCGGCGACAAAGACGCCGCCGCCGAGACAGACAAGCAGGCTACGAGCGGCTCCAACGCCAATGCCGCGCCATCCGATACAACGCCCATGGATGTCGACGCGTCAGCAGCGCCCAACGCGGCACCCGAAGCCGCCGTCGCAGTCGAAACGCTGCCTGCGCCCGCTCCAGCAGCCGCATCCACATCCACATCCACGTCGACGTCCTCGCAGCCTTCACCGGCGCCGACGAACTCTGCAACAGCCGCACCGCAAACCACATCCACCGACGCCGCGACAACCGCAACGCAGTCCGACTCGACCTCGGTACCAACACCAACACCAACACCAGCACCAGCACCAGCACCAGTAACGGCATCCGTATCTTCGCCTTCGCCTGCCACGAATGCTGCCGATGCGGTGGTCGCAGACGGCTCGTCCGTGGCCGATGCCGCCAAGCTGCAGACCAAGGGCAAAACCGCGCCCGTGCTTCAGATGGTGTTCAGCATACTCGAGTCGTTCAAGGCTCAGATCACCGCTGTCGAGAAGAAGCTCAAGGAGGAGCTCGACAGCGTGCGCACGCTCGATCGCAAAGAGTTTTACGCTCTTCTCAGCTCGCCCGAGCAACTCAAGCAGCTCGCCGCGGCGCTCAAGCAGCACAGCGATGATGCACCCGCCGTGGCCACCCTGCCCGATGCTGCCGACACGGTCTCGTCGGCCGTTGTGTCGGGCATCCGCGACGTGCAGACGGCGCTCGTGGAACGCCTCCAGGTGATCGAGCAGTGGAAGGTCGAATTCGTCGTCTACGTCGACAGGAAGGCCGCCTGGTTGCAAAAGCAGCTCGAGGTGCTCGATGACCAGTCATCGCTCCAGGGCGCGCTGCTCATCAAGCTTGCAGAGCACGCCAACCCGCGCCGCCTGCCGCCGACGACGCCTGCCACGGCGGCCGTGCCAACGCCTCCGTTGCCCTCGCCTGTTGCGCGTGCGGCGATGCCTCCGGTGGTCAATACGCCACCTCATCCAGCAGCGCAGCCACAGCCGCATCCGCAGCCCCATCCGCAGGTTTATCGCACCGTGCAACAGCAACAGCCTACGGTGCTGAATCCGAGTGTGATTGCGCAGCCGGTGCAGTCTGCTTCCGACGTGGCCGCGCTGTCGGCAGCACACATGTCTGGCGTTTACAACCATCCTCCCCACGTGCAGCAGCAGCACCAGCAGCAGCACCAGCA